TTCTGTGCATTGATTTTATATCCTGCCACTTGACTGAATTCCTGAATGAGTTCTAGCAGTTTTGGGGTGGAGTCTTTTGGGTTTTCCACATAAAGTATCATATCATCTGCAAAGAGTGAGAGTTTGACTTCTTCTTTGCCGATTTGGATGTTAGGACAACTTTTAAGTTTTAAGACAACTTGTCAGCATGTAATCCTTTAATAGCCATATTCCAGTGTTTTATCTCCAAAGAGACATCCTTTCAAAAAGTTCTGTCCGTGGGGGCGCCTGGGTGGCTCAGTCATTAAGCGTCTACCTTCAGCTCAGGTCATGACCCCAGGGTCCTGGGATCAAGCCTTGCGTCGGGCTCCCTGCTCCGAGGCAAGCCTGTGTCTCCCTCTACCACTCCTCCTGCTTGTGTTCCCTCTCTGTGTCTCTGTCAAATAAATAAATAAAATCTTTAAAAAAAAAAAAAAGCTCTGTCCCTGATTTTTCCTCTTGGGTCTTCATGTCCAAATTCGGGCCAGCATCCCTCAGCCACCATGTGCCTCTGAACACTCCCTTGCTGTATGCACATGAATCCAGGGCCTTCATAATTTAAGACACTCCGTTTTTTTTAAAAGAAGGGGAAAAAAACCTTTAGAACCTATACTACATCCATCCCAGGATAGAGAAATAACTTCTATATTTGCAGTTTAGAATCATCTGCCCTGCTCCTCTGTTAATGTAACGAGAATTAACCATGTTAAAATTTAGCAGTTTAGATGGATATAGTTTTGTATGTAAATCATACCTCAGTAAAGTTGGGTTTTTTAAAAAAGTTCTGGCCAAAGCATTAGGTAGAACACTCATCCTGTTTATCTGGGCTAAAGAAGCAGCGTTCTAGTCACTCTGAGATTGGTCTGATTTCAGACATCTGCCTTTAAAAAGTGTGGCTAGCCATAATTGTATATATTCATGTATTCATGTATATGTTCACAGTTGTTCTTGTTTTTTAAACATGATTTCCCTTTAGAAACTCCCACTTTGACCCATGAGACGTTCAAAGCACTGAAGCCAGGTCTTTCTGCTTATGCTGATGATGTTGAAAAGGTAATGCTTTCCTCTCACGTCTATTCTTCAAATTTGTCTTCCAGCGTGCAGTTTGTTAAAGCCAGCTCCCTTTCTCTTGAGTGCATAGGCCTTATTCACAGAGGAAAGCATCTCTCATGGTGCTGCCCTGGGACATTTCATGCTCTTTAGGGTGGCCAGATGGGGGAAACTGGTACAGCACATGGGGCCAAAGGAGGACCGCTACCCCCAGGCCCCACCTTTCCCTACACCCCAGCTTCCCAGGCCCTTCCCCCAACCACCAGGCGTGCCACCCAGAAGTCTTGGTGCGAATCAAAAGCACACAGGCTACAAACTGATAAAAAGCAGTATTTGAGAGTTTGTTTTTGTTTCAGTTCCTCTGACTGAAGATGACAAAAGTTGACTAAAAAAACTGAAGTTAAAAATGTATTATGCAAAATCCACAAAACCAAATAAGTGTGAAAGTGATTTACTTAAACTGTCAAATAATGATTTTTGTAAATTTGTAGCTTTTATACTTTTCAACTCCTTAAAGCTTACAGCTGCACTAATACAGGACACCTGTATTTCCACTAAGATGCTGATGAAATGGACAAGGTAGTAACATAGCTACAAGTTCCTTTTGATTCAAGCATGTTTTAAAAGCTAATACAGGGGTGCCTGGGTGGCTCAGTCATTAAGCGTCTGCCTTTGGCTCAGGTGATGATCTCAGAGTCCTGGGATCGAGCCCTGCATTGGGCTTCCTGCTCCGTGGGAAGCCTGCTTCTCCCTCTCCCACTCCCCCTGCTTGTGTTCCCCTCTCGCTGTGTATCTCTCTGTCAAATAAATAAATAAAATCTTTAAAAAAAATAAAAGCTAATAGATAGGGGCCCCTGGGTGGCTCAGTCAGTTAAGCGTCTGACTTCAGCTCAGGTCATGATCTTGGGGTCCTGGGATTGAGCCCCACATCAGGCTCCCTGCTCAGTGCAGAGTCTGCTTCTCCCTCTGCCTCTGCTTGTGCTCTCTCTGTCTCTCTCTTAAATAAATAAAATCTTAAAAAGATTTTTTCATTCTTGCCCACAGGTGCATCTTGATCTCACACAGTGAAGTCATAACCCTGCTTTCCTGTGGCTTGGTTAAAAAAAAATTGAAAACAAAAATCAAAATCAATGATATTAGAGTAACTATAAGGTTACACATGAGTAAATTAGATAGCTTTAAAATAAACTCATAAGATTTTTAAAACCGTACTTGTTTTAGTAGGCAGTACACATTCAAGTGGGACATATTTCCCAGCTTCTCAGGGCAGATACTGAGAACTCCCCTCCTGCTCCAGTCTCCCCTAGGAGGGCTGGTGTCCCTGGTTTCTTATGTGTCTTTCAAGGGCTAGTTGACATACCTATGAGCAAATTCATCTATATTCTTCCCCTCCCCTTTTTATTTCACGTGCACAATAGAATGGCATTCATGTCGTTACGTACTTCACTTTCGTCACTCAACAATATAACAGAGATTATTTACTATCAGGATGTGAAGAGCTTCCTTGATTTTTCTGGCAATGATACTACAGTGTGTACAGGCACTTTGAATTTATGGAACCAGTCCCCTCCTGAAGGACGTTCAAATAATGTCTAAGAAAGGCTACAGTTTGTCACCTCACTGAACTTCATTACCCACAGATGCAAGGGCATCCATCTCAGATGAATTCTTAAAATGAGATTTCTGAGTAAAAGGAAGGTACGTTTTCTCACTGGGCAGACATTGCCAAATAGTTCCCGCAGCATTGTAGCTGTTGGTAGTACCCAGCAGTGCTTTACTAAAATTGTTATCCCAGCTCTGCCCTGACACAGGGCCTTAGCCAACTTTTGGATTTCAAGCATTCTGGCAGGCATAAATGATTCCTCCGGGGTTTTCAGCACCGTGAGGAATCCCAGAATTCATTCATGATGTCCAGGGGAATCACAGCTCATCTGAGGTCACCCAGTGAGGGTTGGTGACGGGGCTGAGCAGGGTTTTGGTTGCCAGAGTGTAGATCTGCAGGACCCCCCTTGTGTATCTTCTCCCCACCATGCTCCACTGCTAGGGGTGTTGCTCTGTACTCGCCTGGTCCCTGGTCCCTCACATTCACTAGCACCACTTAAGTCGTTTTCTGCCGATTTGGAAAGTTAGAAGAAAATGTGTTTATAAGTCAATAAAACCAAAAGGGTTGGGGGAGCATCTGTGACCCTGTATGCTGAGCTTTGACAGACCCTGCTTTTACCACGTTCACAGAGCACTTCAGGAATTCAGGAATTACTGGATGTTGCTAAACAAGACGTTCCTTTTGACTTCTGGAAGGCCACCCCCTTGGTGCTCAAGGCCACAGCTGGTTTACGTCTGTTACCAGGAGAAAAAGCTCAAAAGTTACTGCAAAAGGTGATCTTACCCATTTCCCCCTGGGGGGTGGATAGCTTATGATAACTGAAAACACAAAATATTCAGCCAGTGTCTGAGCAGTCGAATGGGCTAAGTAGAAACTTCCTGAAGAGGAAAACACATCAAAATGTTAACAGCATCACCTTTAGCTGTTCCTGTTTTCTAGAACGAACCTGTATTGTGTAATAATGCCAACTCTGTTTTAGGAATACGTTGAAGCCTGGGGCACCTGGGTGGCTCAGTCGTTAGGCGTCTGCCTTCGGCTCAGGTCATGATCCCAGGGTCCTGGGATCAAGCCCCACATCGGGCTCCCTGCTCGGCGGGGAAGCCTGCTTCCCCCTCTCCCACCCCCCCACTTGTGTTCCCTCTGTCACTGTCTCTCTCTCTGTCAAATAAATGAATAAAATCTTTTTAAAAAAGAAAAATAATAATACCAATTCTTAGCAAACTGCTTCATAAAATTGAAGACGAGGGAATTAAAAGGAAAAAAAAGAATACGTTGAAAGCCTTTTGAAGGGCTTCCTTCCATGCAGAGACTAGATCCTTGTAGAGGGTTGTAGAAGCCTGAGTTCCTGACACTTCATCTCCAGCCTGCGTGTTCTCACGGAAACTGCCAGTTCTTCTCTTGATCTGATCCACAGATGTAACTGCCAAAGAGTCCTTTAGCCTTCCCTTGCCAGGGTCTGGCTCTCACATGGCCGGGATTGCCCCCCCAGGCCTAGTGGCAGCCCTGCAGAAAGACTTTGGAACCCTATTTCTTACAGGTGCCTGGATGGTTATTGTCAGGCACATTAGGGAAACTGCTTTCACCACTATGGTCCCCTTCATCCTCTGTACTGTTTCTAAACTGTGCGGCCACTAAGTGATGAATTGTTGCACATTGGTCAGGGTCCCTTGTAAAAGTTACCTTTACATGCTCGAGTCTGATTGTGGGCCACCAGTGCAGTTGGAATGTGCAGATGGACTGACGTTTCTGTGTGTCAGTACTTGCTAAAAAATGGGGAGGGAAGTGCCCCCAAATGCTGCTGCTCACTGTCTTTGCCTCCCGGCTGTGGAGCTAACTCCTGGGTCCCAGGCTGAGCTCTGCCTTGAGGGGCTTCCAGTGTCTCATCTCCAGTCTAAAGCAGGGCAGTGTTTGGGGGCCCAGCAGACTCAGGGGGACCCCTGAGCTCTTCCAGCCCAGAGTGGCTTTAAGACAGGACTCTTAAGGGTAGCATCTGCCTTCGCCAGCCCAGGCAGTAGATAAGGATATCACTTGCAGAGGATTCGAGAAATTTAAAACAAAACATGAGCTTTGTTTCTTCACAGCACCAGCTGACACCCTCTGCTGTTTTGTCATGATCTGCTGAAAGCACAGTGTAATTGGGAACTTTGAGTTTAGATTGTAAAGGATAAAGACTTGTCTCCCTTTACATTTAGGTGAAAGAAGTGTTTAAGGCATCGCCCTTCCTTGTAGGAGATGACTGTGTTTCCATCATGAACGGAACAGATGAAGGTAGGGTCTCCAGAAGCTTGCTGTGCGACAAGGCTGTCCTGGGAGACAAGGCTGTGTTCAGGGCTGCTATTGGCATTCCAAGTGGGAGCGTTCTCCTCAGTCACACGTGGGCAGGCAAGAACTAAAGTGATGGTCTCATTCCGTTCACAGTGTAACTGTCTCAGAGGATCTTTGGGGGGCCAGTATTAGAGACAGATTCACATCTCGACTAGCTCTAAACCTGGCACAGATGAAGTTTCTGAAAACAAATCATCTTTTCAGCTTTAAGAACATTTAGAGAGAATCCCCAATTGCTACCATATTTAGAAGTTTGCTGTTGCATTGTTAATGCTGAGAGAGAGAGACCGTCAGGTTCTTCACCAGCCCCTGATTTTAAAATATGACCAGGGGAGGGGAGAGCAACATTTGGTTCTCTTTCCAAAAAGAGGAAGTTCATGATATAGAATAGGAGGGAGAGATGTGACATTTGGCAGAGTATTATAGTGTTTTAGTATGGCATCTTCTGGAACAGTCTGCCAGAAGCTGCTGGGTGACTTGATGACTGATGCCTCTTCCTGTAGCTGATCTGGAGGCTGAGAAGTGAGGGGCGCTCACTTCTGCTCCTGGAATCTCAAAGTGGTCATTTGAGTGCGTGTGTTGTTTACAGCATCTCAGGTGATTCACGTGCCGTCTGTGACCCTCTCTTGTAGGCGTTTCAGCGTGGATCACTGTCAACTTTCTAACAGGTACATTCTTCCCTCTCCCTGAAGCTGACAGTCCACAGATGCCATTCTTGATGGCAGAGGTCTCATTTCTACTCTTTAAAATGACCCCTTGGGTTTCTCCAGTGGTGCTGGTTCAAAGTAGATCATTGGGTTGGGTGAGGGCTCATCAGAGTGGGCATCAAGCTTGCAGATGAAAATGCTAGGGAAAGGAGCTTCTCTGTAGGCCTGGTTTTCTCCAGCATAGCTCCTGCCCCTTCTCGACTGCAGCCACATTAGCCAGGGGCCCTGTCCTCTCATTTCTAAGGGAAGTGATGAATAAAACCAGTCGTGCTTTCAGTTATTAAATGTGGTGGGAATGCTCTTCGCCTTAGAATTGAATTCCTCTGCTGTAGATAGAACAGAGAACAGAAACATCTGTTCTTAGAACAAGATGGCAAGGAGTCATTTTTCTTAGATTATTCTCAGTACAGGTTGATTTTTGTCCCTTTATTGTAATTATGGCAAAACCAGTGTGTGTGAAACACATATATGAAAAAGAGGCTTTGTGGCAGAATTTGCCCCTTGGGGATGGAGAGCCATGTTAAGGGACACATTAGGAGCCCGGTGCTGGGGGAAGGCGTGCCTCTGGGCATGAAGGGACAGGATAGAAGTCATTGTCTCCGGGGGTGAGCAGTGGATAGGGCAGGCCCGGCTTCTCTGCTGAAGGTCGGTGTTGTCTTATATTGTTAAAGCCACAGCTGGCAGAGCTGCATTCATGCCCCTTGAACATGTGCATCCTTCCATGGAGATTGTTAAATACCCACAGCTGTTTCTCTGTTTTTCTTTCCACTGAGGGGCTTGACTCCTAAACTTCCTTTACTTTTTCGGCTGTTCTCATCTATTTACTAATGCGACAGTATGTGTTGGTTTGTACTCACTGTGCCCCAGGCAGTTTGAAAACCCCAGGAAGGAGCAGTGTGGGCATGCTGGATTTGGGCGGAGGATCCACTCAGATCACCTTCCTTCCAAGACTTGAGGTAACCGGCCTTTGCCACCCCATTGTGGCCCCCACCCTCCAAAGGCCACCTGCCCCCAGGAGTTGCAGCCCCTGGGGGAAGGCCTGTTGACCTGGTGTCTCTGGGCCTGTGCAGTTAGTTCCTATCCTCACAGCCAGATTCATTCACAGTTAATTCTTCTTCGCTTGATTTTATTCTGCCTGGGGGAGAAAATGGAAATATGATCTTCAGTGGGATGATAAATTAGAAACTACCTGGAACCCTCAGGGCCATAGGATGTGAGATGTTCCCTTTTCCCCCAGGACAAGCCAGAGACGGGGCCATTACTTAGTCTGACTCCAGATGGGGAGAGAGCCTCAAGCCCTGTGTGATGGGACGTTATAAAGGAGATGAAAATGCTTCCAATCTAGACTGTCTGCTGCTTTAGCCACAGTGCCTTCCTCACCCACCACTGTTTTGTTGTTTTTATTTTTAATTTACAATGGAAAAGCACTTAAATTTACTCATAATTGTCTTGGTTGGGCCATATTTGTCAGAATGGTAAATGTTAGTTATAAGGAGGAAAAACATTTTTTCATTTTGGACATTTTATTTTTCATTGCTTGTTCAAACTCTTTTGAAACATGTGACTTAATGAAAAACTAATTTAATTGAATACATCTGTGAGTACCCTGGTCTTTTCAAAAGAAAGACCAGCAGGAAGGATAGCATTCCTCATGTTCTTCCACAGGATACCCTCCAGACCTCCCCGCCTGGCTACCTGACGTCACTCCAGATGTTTAATCGGACCTACAAGCTCTATTCTTACAGGTTTGTTTTGGGAGTGGGGGTGGAGAGGCTGCCCATCCAGGAGTGTGGCTCAGCCAGCCCTGTGCAGTGACCAGAGCACCCGGAAACCCCCCTGCTGGGGGCTCTCCCTCCAACACTTCCTCCTCCCTTGCTGTTCCTTCCTCCTCCTGCCTTCTCCCCACTTCATTTTTCAGTTCACCTACAGTAAAATCACATTCCCTTTTTTTGTGCTTATTTTGTTCTGCTTTGGAGGAGGTTTCTAAAAGGTGGGGAAGAGCCCATGGATTGTGCAGGAATTTTCTTGGCCATCTATTTACCACATGGCACCTTCAGTCGATTCTTGGTGTAAAGCATATATACTCCATAAAGATCAGGGCACATCTGTGTCGTTCACTGGCATCCACAGCTCCTAGGCAAGCTCCTGTTAGGTAATAGGCTTTCATTTGTTGAACTGAATGCCCTAACCTCCATAGAGAGGCTTCTAGAAGCAGAAAGTCTACTGCCTCGCCACAGGTTTCCTCCCTTTCCCATTTGTTTTGGATTCAGGCCAGGTGAACGTACTGGAGGCAGGATTGAAGATGTTACCCAGCGCTTCCTGTGGCAGGCCAGCCCCTCACCCAGGATTTTCTTTCCACAGCTACCTGGGGCTCGGTTTGATGTCGGCGCGGCTGGCGATTCTGGGTGGCATGGAGGGGAAACCTGGTGAGTGGAATGAGAGTTCAGAGCCCTCCTTGCTCAGCAGGCTTGAGGAGCCTTTCAGGAAAGGTGCTTCTGCCGTCCACTGTCACAGCAGCCCACTGGGCCCTGGTCCTCAGGACTAGAGGAGCCTAGGAGGGACGTGTGGGGAAGAGTGCACACGTCGGTGTGCACTATGTTGGTGGGCACTATGATGGTGACAAATAGTAATGTGTTTTACCTGTGTACATGCTAAGTTATTTTTTAAAAGGAAGAGATGCTGGAGAAGTCATTTCTCAAACACTGAGCTGTGGGATTTTAGCCACCAAGTAACTGTGTTTAGTCATCACCTGCTTTGGAGTGGACTGGTTTTTAAGCATCAGAAAGGAATCTTATTCTTCATGATGGTACAGGAGAAGCTATGAGGAGGTGATTCTGGGGCTGCTACTGGGAAGCTGGGGAAAGTTTTTCCCTCATTCACAGTGATACTAGTGTTATAAGGATGTCCCTCCATCTTCTCTTGCTCTGTGAAGGATCATTAAACATGAACTTGGCCCCTCCTACAGACACAGCATTGAACCGGAGATGGCCAGGTGAGGATGTTTCTTCCCAGGCCTTCTCTGATCTTCCCTGACTGGCCTGGCTGAGGAGAAGCCTGGTGCTGGCCACCAGGGTACATGAGCTCTTAGGAGGTCTTAGGGGATCATTATGTCCCAATTTGGGAGTAGGGGAACACTACTCTGAGGGTGGCATTGGCCTGTCTTTCCTGATGACATCAATTAGGGCCCAAAGGCCTTGACCCATGCCTCTGGTCCAGATGTGTGCGTGCGAGCCCACACATACCCTCCAGCCACATGCCCTTCCCTCAGCCCTGCCTCTCCTTGCCCCACACCTGCTCCCCTCCACAGGCCTAGCAATTCTCTGCACTTCTTTCAAGGGCCTAGTTGTTCTAACTGGAATTTTTGTTTTTCACGTACATCTTATTTCAAATCCTGGTGTTTAACCTCATTATGGTATTCCTCTGTTGCAAACCAAAAACATTTCCATGTCTCAGAAACACTAGCAGTTTTCACTGTGTGGCCAGAAAACACCTATTTAGCCAGCAGGAAGAAGGCAGTTACCCATTTGCCTGTCCATGGCTAGCCTTAAACCTATCAGCTACATAAAGTACCTACTTGGGACACATAGAGCTGTAATACCTGCCAAGAAGGGTATGGATAGCTCCTTGCCCCAGAGGAAACATCTCCCTATTGTGTTATCTGTTGTTGCACCAGTACACACTAAACGGAGTGGTCAAAACGAGCAGCTATCTCATGATTGCATAGGCTTGAGCTGGGTAGTGCCTCTCCTGGGATCCCTGGGGCTTGTGTGGTGACAGCTGGGGTGGCTGGGTATATGTCTTACACCTCAGTGCTCCCCCATGTGGCCTCCCCAGCAGAGCAGCCTGCACTTCTCTCTGGCAGCTCAGGAAGGGAGACTGCCCTGAAGTCACATGCTGTCATATCCTGCGCATTCTGCTGGTGAAAGCAGGCCCAGGCAAGAATCAAGGGCCGACATAGGGATTCACTTTTCAGCATGCACATCCTTGAGGGGTGGCATCATGGGGCCAGCCTTGGAGGCCAACCACCACACTTCCTTTGTTATTTGTGGGGCCCCAGATTTTGTGCTGTGGGGCAGCACAGATACATGGCATGGTGGCATCGTCCTGGCCCTGCCAGGTTACTTGCAGCCTCATTCATCTGTAAAATTGGGTAGTGTTGGCTCCCCTTCTATTAGGGTGGTTGTGACAGTTGACTGAACAACACTTGGCCCGATGCCTGGAACCCTGAAGCCCCTCAGTGCGTGTAAGCTAGGAAAGACTATGTTTCTAAAACTGATGAGGCTTTGTGGCGGCTTCTGTGATAGAGAAAGGCTTGCCTCCCCTAGTTGACCTGGAATGCTTCCACAGGTCGGGTTTCATCTGGCAGAAAGGAAGAGTGTTCCTTTGCCCCTCCAATGCCTCATTACTAGTATTGGGGAGGAAAAATTTTTCTTCTACCTTTCAAGATTCTTTTGGCCTATTAATTAAATTCACATGAGACAGATTAATAGGAGAAAAACAAATTTAATTATGTATGTACAGGAGCCCCATAAGAATATGACACCCAAGGACAGGTCAGGCAATTGAGGCTTATGTGCCATCCTCAACTAAGGAATAGGATAGGGGACTGGGGCTTTAAAGGGGAGGAGGGTGATTCACAGGACGGTAAGAAGAGCAGATGTTTGGTCATTAGATGTTTGCCCTTGCATACAGAAGTCATTCGTAAAAACTTATCTCTGTTAACAGCTCTCTTTCTGGGCCAGACCCCCTATCTAAATTCATTTAGATAGTTAAGAGAAAGGTAAAAGTTTTTCCTGAATCTGCTAGGTCTAGATTGTCTTTAGCTCAAAATAGTCCACATGCCAAAGTGGCATATTTTGGGGTCATGTATTTTACTCCCTCTCAGTCCTATCTTTGAAACTTCCCTAGGAAGTTTCACAGTCCAGAAGTGAAGCTGCTGGATTGCTCCATCTCACTGAACCAGGCTCTTAGTGCCGATAAAAAATGGGTTCAGTTAGACAGTTGTGTCTCATTTCAGGAGGCAGTGATGCAGGCGGGCTCCCAAAGTTAGGCCTGTGGTGCAAGAAATCAGGTATTTAATAAAAGCCATTTCTGTGGAAATAAAAAATAGTGGTTAATGATTGGAACAGATTATAATCCCAGTTTCTGCATTCTGAAGGCAAGCCAGTTGACAAGATTTCTAGATGTCGGGCTTGAAGCACCTTCAGACAGAGTGAGGGCAGGCAGCGGCAAACTGATAGGTTTTCCTGTTGCAGTTTCAATGTCTTTGATGATCTTTCTGAGTGGTTACCCTTAGTTCCATAAAGCTGTCTGGCTATATCTGAATTTACACACATCCTTCTCAAATAGGACATTCCAGTCAAAGCCTTGGTAATGTAACCAGTGTTTGTGGTTGTGTCCTGGAGACACAAGGAGAAGAGGTGCACATAACTATATTGCCTTGAAAATAAGAATATTCTGTTGCCAAATTGTGGAAGGATAAGGTAGAGAGAAAAAGTAATTGTTTCATATTTGTTCACAAAGGTATATCTTACCAAATTGTTGGTAGCTTAGGAGAAAAGAGTAAAAGGTTTCCTTAAATCTGGAAAAATGAAACATAAAACAACAGGCAGTGTTTCAAACAAAAACTCATAAACATTATAATCCTCCTCTGTTTATTCAGTTCCATATAATTAATAGTTGTTCCCCTTAAACCTAGTTTTCCCTTTAGTTCTGGAAAATCTTACCCAGCCCAGTTTTATGGTCTTTAAGTCCACTTGTCAAAAGTCCTTTTCTTGAATCTCCTTGAAGGGAAGTGCTTTTGCAGGAACACTTTACAAAGCATTAGAGTGATACAGTAACTGTAAGTGACAAAAGACTTAAGATGCCCATTGTTAAAGATCTGATGAGAGTTCATTGTAGCAGAATTGACAAGTCTGGTTATTTCTGTGGTATGCAATATTTTAAGGTAATAGCTAGAATTATGACTGATAACATTATACCAGGGCGTATCAGAATTTTAGGAATTTCATACAATTTTTATAATACTTATGTTAGTAACATTTACCTATATAGTATAACCTAAGAAGGCTTATCATCACTTATTTGACATGCCTACCAGGTAATTTAACATATCAGATAAACTCATCTCTTTTTGTAAAGAGAGAGCACATATTTTTTGAGATGTTCTAGGGGCCCTCTTAAAAAATCTCAAACTGAGTTTAAGGCCATAAAAGACTTCATTTAGAATATGATGTTGGAAATTTGTCAAAAATATCACAAGATTTGGACACTTGACTAAATAGGATCACAGATCATAACGAAGCATTACTTACCTGTTCAACCAAAGTGACAAAGGATTTAAGGGCAAATACAGAATGTTACATAGTTGTGAGCAAAACTGATCAAAGACCTGATAAAACATGGAAAATTATTTTGATAAAACATAATCTGCTTTTTGAAGACTGGTTACTTAGAAGGTGAGAAAAAGCCTTTCACAGTCTTACCAGGAGCAGGCCAGTAGTCCCAGAAAACTGTCCTTTCAGGTGAAAGAACATTCAATTTTGGTTTCGTAAAAGTACACTCCTGATTTTAAAGCTTCATTTTACAACCATTAAAATAAATTCATTCAGTTCTAGCCAACTTAACCACACAAGGTAAGATTTTCTCTGTCTTTCTAGCTTTCCATTTAATCTGTCTTTATTTTCCTCTTTCCCATCTGGAAATAACCAGTTTTACTTGGGACAAATTTACTTTCCCTTATTTTCCCTTAACAAAAATGCTTCTTCATACCTCATACCTCTTCTTACTGAAAACACATCTTTCCTTGCATACAGAGTTGTTTCTCTTATATTATTTCTAGTAATTTTAGTTATATATATATATATTTTTTTAAAGATTTTATTTATTTATTTGAGAGAGAGAAAATGAGAGAGAGCACATGAGAAGGGGGAGGGTCAGAGGGAGAAGCAGACTCCCTGC